TGCTTTTCTGCAAAGGGGACAGGACGACTGCGGCGTATTGAGGGGAGGATGGATGGGGCCATGTATCGTGAGATCTTGGCCAACAACCTCCTTCCCTCAGTATGAGCATTGAAGATGGGTCGTGGCTGTGTCTTCCAGCATGACAACGACCCGAAACACACAGCCAGGGCAACTAAGTAGTGGCTCCGAAGAAGCATCTCAAGGTCCTGGAGTGGCCTAGCCAGTCTCCAGACCTGAACCCAATAGAAAATCTTTGGAGGGAGCTGAAATTCCGTATTGCCCAGCAACAGCCCCAAAATCTGAAGGATCTGGAGAAGGTCTGTATGGAGGTGGGCCAAAATCCCTGCTGCAGTGTGCAAACCTGATCAAGAACTACAGGAAACGTATGATCTCTGTAATTGCAAACAAAGGTTTCTGTACCAAATATTAAGTTCTGCTTTTCTGATGTATCAAATACTTATATCATGTGTGGCGTATAGGATATTTATAGGAAAATGCCCACTTACTGGTGTGTTATTTTATAGGTATGCACTTTATTTGCATGTTTACAGACACCCCCATTCAATTTTCAACAGTTCGATTGCAGTTAAAAGGGTACGCGATCACTGCGGGTATATAAGTTGTGGGTTGAGCTGCGTTCTTTAGTTGGCAGTTACCACAAGAAAAAAGTAAAATAACTGAGGACCAGCCAACTCACCACTGTGTATTTCATTTATTCTTTCAGGTGGGTAAATGTCACATAAGCATACTCTTTGTTAATAATCTAGATGTATTTAGTGTACCGTTTATAAACTGTAATATTATGTAGGCTAGCCGTAGTTATTTGCGATATTTGCACAAGCTAGGTGTCCTACTGGGACAGTTGGCACTAGCTTGCTGTTTACGATGAATGGTTGTCCAGTTTCACATGTCAAAACATGTCGAAGGGAGTCAGATGTAAAGTTTACCTGACTCCACTGATACATATATTTAGGATTTATTGTTAAGAGCGTTTTGTAGTTACATTTTCTTTGTTTTATTTCATTAAATTCAACGTTTAGCTAATAGAATGTAGACCGTTAGAGGCAGATCCTGAACCGTTGATTAGCAGTGCTGTAGTTTACCGTTGCCTAGACAACCAGGCAGCCCACATGTTGTATTACGTTATACGTAAACAAAGAGGATGAATGAGAGAGATTGATCGTTAATGTAATTGTTTTGTGACTGATGAAGGCCTATAAGCAGAATTGTAATTTTATAATTGTAGATACTAGAATGAGCACATTTTTAATAATTTACTTTTGTATAAAAGCCTATTCTATGTTTATTGTGAGTCTGTTATCTTACTGTTTTTAAATGAAGATATTTAGGAAATGTATAGTTATTACTAAATTTTGATATATATTTTTGACTTAATATCAAATTGTGATTTTTGTATTATATTGTTATTGTTATATTGTTGAGATTTTTGTATTGTTCTAACGAAGCTCGGTTGGCAGTTACCACAAAAAAAAAGTAAAACTACTGAGGACCAGCCAACTCACCACCGTGTATTTCATTTATTCTTTCAGAGTAAATCTTTTCTAAAATATGTCAACCCTTGAGTCAACACACTCTATGGAATAACAACAAATAACAAGAAGAGAGGTATGGAGTCTATTCACAGAAGTCAAGGCCATCCTTTACCAATTGGACCACCCTCTCATTATTAAAATATGTGAGTACACAAAATGTTCCATGCCTGCTGAAGTGGGGTTCTCCAGCTAAACAAAGAGACAGCTTATAAAGATCATAGTAAGCGAACTGGAGGAGTTGGAGAAAAAGGAAGGTGATGAAGAACGTGTGTGTATGTACCTGAAAGGCCTAATCACATACATGGAAGCGATAAGAGAGGTGAGCAGAGGGCCAAGCAACACTGCACCTGATCAAAGCCACCTTTTCACCTCCAAGCAGTAGGGTGCCCCATCAGCATGTGAGCATCATTTGAATTACCAGTTTCCATCCCCAGCCACCATCCAACTGAGGTGGTAAGAACCAGCACCCCCCATCACACACGTGCCTGAAGTCATGCTCCGGAGGAATTTAAGATCATGGACAGATAGGGGAAGAAGGACAAAAAGAAAAGCTGTCCTACACAGTCTAGTCCACCAGTTTGAAGCAGGCCTCCGGAAAGGACACTCAGAGGTGGAAGTGATTGAGGCAGTAATATGAGCAGTCAGCCCAGGTCTCCACCTCAGAGACATGCTTGAAATCAAGAGCAATTTAAATCTCTCCTCCCTTAAAACCATCCTGAAGGGGCACTACAAGGAAGAAAGCACCTCTGACAGCTACCACAAACTGGTTAACATCTCACAGGAGCCAAAGGAGTCTGCTCAGACCTTTCTGTTCCATGCCATCGAGCTGAAAGGGAGGCCACTGTGGAAGTCAAATGATGGAGAGGCTGATGACTACTATGACCCAGAATTAGTACAGAGAAAGTTTCTCCGGACAATTGCGACAGGTCTTCTGAGCGACTCAATAAAATTCCAGGTAAGGCCATTCCTGAGTGAGGTCACGGTCAGAGATGAGACACTGATTGAAAAGGTGTAGTGAGGCTGCCAGTTTGGAGGGTGAGAGGCTGAAGAAGCTGAGGAAATCTACCAATGGTAAGGAAGCCCGTAT